AGAAACTACCAGCCCCCTCCCACGTAAGGTAGACGCAGAGTCTTCATTTCTTAGATCGATACAACCCAGCCGATCCAGCAAAACTGAACAAGCTTGAGAAATATGTTGTGTCGGGGCCGAATGAGCGGATGCAAATGCACGAAAGGGTATGCAAAAATCACCGACTGCCAAGGCCAGTACCCTGCGCCTACAGGGCAAGAAACGGGATTCTGTCATCTTGTTTGATGCAAAAAAACACCAGCAGACTCGCCAATGGAAAAGAGACAGGTCTGCTGATGAGGAGTAGGGTGACTACTGCAAGGGGCTAGCAGCAAAACCCTCGGCAGCCTGCTTATCCCAGCTCTCTCGAGGAGGTAAAGGGCCCAGAGATGAGTCACCACCTCACAGGGTTTCACCAGTGGCGGTGGAACGGTCGGACCACTTGGTGCCGCTGCGCTAATCAGACGTCCCGGGATGCTGCATCCCAAGAGGGACGCCAGGTTAACCATGGTTCACTAGCGAGGCGAAGAGGAGGCCCACTCTTGATGATTTGCAAAAAGCTGAAATCATGGTGGTGCGCGGGGAGCTGGAACTGGCTGAAGGACCCAAAAACTGTGATCATTACCTCAGCGAGGTCGACAGTAGGGATGGCCAGTGACAAAACGTAACTGGAAGGCTGTTCTGCCGACAGCGTGACTAGGATACTGAAGCCTCACGTGCAGAGCATCTCTTCATCAAGGCTGCCAGCTGTAAAACTCAACCCCAAGACATCACCCGAAGAGACGCATAGAAAACAGTGATACGTGAAACGCCAAATACGAAGTGTTATACAATGTCGTGAAAGAAAGCAACAAACACAAAAGCTGGAAGATAGGAAACCTGAAAAACCGCTTCAGACAGGTCTAGTTATAAGAAAACGTTAACATGGGTCAAGGTTTAAGGGATTGAGGATGAAAATTTTCATCGCATTAGCTCCAGAATGCCGCGGGGGACCATGACTTGGAGGCTTGCTAGTGCCTCCTAAACTGGTAACCTGAATCAAACGCAACAGCCTACTAACTTCCTCACAAGTCTACGTACCACACTAAGCCCAGGACATAGCTCCTCGACACGCTCCTACAACAGTCCAAGAGGTCTTAGAAGTTAGGTGCTAGAGGTATGAAAAATGCGTTTACATCTGAATTATTAATCACGGAGACGCGGATCTCATCAGATTCCTTGGAAAAGGAGATATCCCTGCTACAAAATCCTGTGCCAAATGGGCAGGGAGTTCAAGGAAGGCGAAGGAGTGGCCAGACACATCACCACACACCTAAAATCCAAGGATGCGGCTGATAATAAGCTTAACCGATCATCGGACCTCTGGTGATGCTATTTGATCATAAAAAGAATAAAGTACATGCTAGGAGTGGTACACAGGCCCATCCTATGGACAACAGAGCGTGAAATGCAATCACTTTCCGAGATTTCGAAATCCGCCTGGGCGTCTTATGGACATGCAGTTCTAGCTGGGGACTGCAACACACTGGCCCCTAACCCAGGAAGCGAAGCAAGCCATAGGCGTTAATCTTTTGAACGGAGTTCGAAACACGTTTATGGCACCAGGGCAGATAAAAAAAGTCAAGGAAAACACCTAACCAGGACCAGATGGTGAAGGATCCCAACTTGACTGCTATCTGGCAGGTAATGATCTTTCGGTGATGATATCTGACTCCATCCCACTCCAGGAAAAAGCGACGACGCAATGGTGAGAGGTTCTTTGATAACCAAGGTGACGCTGCCAATAGTTGAACCGGCAGCATTCCGCCGTCGCCGGAAGGCAAACCACTGGCCAATGAGAAGTGAACTCGCGAAAGCTGCACGGCTACAAGAATGGTGATCTCGCTGACAGGGGAACACTGGATACGTGCTAAAGTTACTGTCTGGAGCGGTATCAAAAATGGTGTTCCGATATTAGCAAGACAAACACCCCTCAGGCAGTTTGGGGTTACTCGCGCAACCCACAGGCAAATACAGAGGAAGCAGAAAGCGTGGTATGACTGGAGGATATCGCATGAGGAATCAGAAATTAATAGCTGCCGGCCTGAGTAACGTAACCCAAGTAAAATAAATGGTCACAGTAACAGGTAAAATTAACGGAGTAACCCATTTAAAAAGACAACCTAAGAGCCAAAATGCTGATATCGGCTTACGTCACAAAAAACAGGCCCACGAAGGTTAGAATTTGATCACGAGGATGAACCAAGAATACTTGAAAAGTCCTGAGATAAAGGAAACAGTGGGCAGCCGATGTGAAAAATAGTTCAACTCAGAGACACGTTCACTGTCTAAATCAAGTAATGTAACTATGTTCCAGAACGGTGATAGAAAAAGATGACATAGATAAGGATTAGATGAAACGAAGTGTGTAAAAAAATTATCTGAACAGAAATTGACGAAATTTCCAGGTTGTAGCGACACAAGACAGGCGGTCATACAAAAATGTGCCGAAGTCATGAGCCCAGCCCCTTCCTAAAGGTAAACAAACCTGCCAACAGTAACAAAACACGTAGAGAGAGGAACCAATTCATAATTCAAAGGATCCTAAGAGGGGCAGCAAAAAATATTAAGACAACAACGAGCACCACCGTTTCCTAAACTATCATAGGAATCGAAACCAACGGTCACAGAAGTTGTTTCCGACCACCTAAACGGAAACATCTTTCGATCCACCCAACACGGCCTTAGAACCAGACGGCCATAGGTCACAAATTTGATGACCGCATGGGATGATTGGATCACTGGATGGGACAACAGGTAACCAGTTCACGTTATCTTTCTGAACTTCATCAAAGCCTCCGATACTGTCTCACACTATCTCATGCCCACCAAACTCGCAGAGGTATCACTCAACCACTCATAGCATGATTTACAGCATTTATAGAAGACAGAACTGCGTACTAAAGTAAACAGAATTCGGTCAGCCTGGTGGAATGCGAAGACAGGAGTTTCCGAAGGAGCGAGTTTTGGCCCAATCTTATTTCTACTATTCACAAATGATCTCCCCACTCAAATCTTCTCACCTTTCCTCCCATTTGCCGACGACATCAAAATATGGAGGAAAGTAGGTTAGGAAGAGGACCCTAGGATAATCTAAGATGATCTGTTGCAGTTGGATTCCTGGTCGGCAGCGAATGGTTTGGGTTTTCACCTAGAAAAATGCAAAGTGATGTATCTTTGCACACTGAAAGCGATGGAAACCAGCCACATTCTCAACAAGTGCACAATCACCAGGGTATCCACAGAGAAGGGCCTAGGACTAAGCTTCTCCGAAGCACTGGGTACTATGAGGGAGTGGCATCGAGGGCCAACACCATCATGCACTTCCTAGGAGCGCAAACCCCTGAACTATTCCACGCGGTATTTGAAACATGTTAGACCATACCTTGAGAAATTCAACACGATAGCCTCCCTCCCGCCCTACTAAAGACATACGTGAGTACTCTCGAGAGGGCGCAGAGAAGAGCGACAAGGTCGGTTGTCGGACTACACAGGCAAAACATATGCGCAACACCCTAGACAACTCAACTTGTTTACCTTAAGCTATCGAAGGAAAGGAGGTGACCCAATAGCAGCCTACAATATCATCCACCAAATGGATCACCCTGGCATTCAACATTACCGGACTAAAAACAAGTCTCGCGGGAACCCCACTCGCATACCTTACCACAGGGAAAAGACGAGAGTGGGATCTAACTTCTTTTCACACAGAGTGCGTGCCCTATGGAACGTTCTCCCAAAAGAAGTAGCCACAGCCACATCCCTTAACTCCTTCAAGTGGCTGCTCGATAAGTACGTGGGTGCAAACGGCATACCACGAACACTAACCGATAGCAACTGAAGGTGAGCTCATCCATCCCTGTACTCCCTAACCCTAGTATCTGCAGCACGACCCGTCCCTTCTCCATATTATCGGTAGTAACAATTAGGTTTTTCTCAATAGTTTTTACTCCGCACCAAGTCACTAAATGAATCTTAGCTGAGACACTATTAGTATTGGACACATACTGAAACAGCCTGGAACTTAGGTCAGGGACTCCTTTTATTCCCACAGCGTTATTAAACCCTGGAATGTCCTTTTTAGAGACGTGTGGGCTCACTTACAGACTATGGCCTACGCCACTGTTTTCCGATCCTTTAAACACCGGCTTAACATTTACTTGCCCTGCGGCTGGAATCTGCCGAGAACTATTTACATCTTCACATTTTAACAACCACTTTTCCCCTCTCTCTTTACTTGTATACGGTTTAACGACCACAAAAAGTAATGACTTATTGATTTCAGACGCAGGAGCCAGTCAAGAGAAAGCTTCTTCTATTCCGGCAACAATCAATTGAACCATTTTTCATCTTCCATTCGCTGTTTCCAACACTAATTTTTAAATAACCCTTACTACCTGCATGCAGGTGCTAACAGAAATGGGAATTGCAAAAAAAAGATTGGTCTAGAGATGAAAGTGTAGAAATCAATTGGCTTGTAAGAAGATGTTGATATTGGATATAATCAGCAGCTCCGCAGAAAAACAGAGACTTCTGAGATCACCGAAGGAGTGTAACGGAATTAAAAGAACTGGGCCTCAAGATCTAGAACCAAGATTTAAAAAATTATAAGATTCATCTACTTATGCTCTAGTTGTTGGATGTTGGTACTGAATACTGTTTGTTTGAAAGAGTCGTTTCCTGTGAGACTGAATGTCATTGTTATGAAACTGAGCATGTTTCTCTCATGTCGGGTCTCAGCACTGACCTAGAGAGATTTTCAGAAGTAAATAACATTGTCGATAATTACTATGATGATCCAGCAATTAATATATACAAAGCAAACCTTAAAAAGTCACAACTACACAGTTACTTGACTTTTGGAAATTCATCATCCTTATCCATATATACCAGTTGCGGTAATAATAAGGTTATCAGTAAAAAAGAATCCTTGATCCAGAACAAGTCTACTCAGCGTTCACTAATTTGTGAGGTGTTGTGATATGGATGATATACTTCAAAAATTGAATATTTGGGGATCTTGGTGAGTCCTCCTACAACATCTTCCACAGGTTTTTCTGATCACTTCCATTCATCATTGGCGCACCACTTTCTGTATATATTTCACCAGAAAGTTGGCTTAATACTCTACTTTTTTTGGCTCAACGTATGAGCAACTACACTAATGCTTAATATAACTACAAATAGCTATTGTTGAGTGAGGTATATTTACATTGCATATGATTATTTGGGTTTCGACAAGAAGTTCGTAGTGTTTTTAAAATATGATCTGTTTAAGTCTTGCTATTTCAGTATTTGTATTGGTCTTCAATCATGTTATCAGTGGCGTAGCAATTACAGGAAAAATTCTCTGCTTTTTATCAAAGACTGTTTTTTAAGATCAGCAGGAAAACTCGTAATTTATTCACCCATGATGAAATTGGTTGTTAATCCTTCAGCCATGTGGCATCTACAGCCAGTGATTTAAATTATTAGCTAGTTTCTGTAGTCCCTGTTCAAATTACTCTCTCTCTCTCTCTCTCTCTCTCTCTCTCTCTCTCTCTCTCTCTCTCTCTCTCTCCATATATATATATATATATATATATATATATATATATATATATATATATATATATATATAATTTCCATTTTTGTGAGTATCTGTGAGTAGATATTAAGGGTTCCTTAAAAGTTGGTGCTGGAAATATAGCGAGTGCGGAACGGAAAAGGAGGGGTGAAAAGTATTTGTTGAAACCCAAGTGTTACTACCGATAATATGGAGAAGGGACGGGTCGTGCTGCAGATACTAGGGTTAGGGAGTACAGGGATGGATGAGCTCACCTTCAGTTGCTATCGGTTAGTGTTCGTGGTATGCCGTTTGCACCCACGTACTTATCGAGCAGCCACTTGAAGGAGTTAAGGGATGTGGCTGTGGCTACTTCTTTTGGGAGAACGTTCCATAGGGCACGCACTCTGTGTGAAAAGAAGTTAGATCCCACTCTCGTCTTTTCCCTGTGGTAAGGTATGCGAGTGGGGTTCCCGCGAGACTTGTTTTTAGTCCGGTAATGTTGAATGCCAGGGTGATCCATTTGGTGGATGATATTGTAGGCTGCTATTGGGTCACCTCCTTTCCTTCGATAGCTTAAGGTAAACAAGTTGAGTTGTCTAGGGTGTTGCGCATATGTTTTGCCTGTGTAGTCCGACAACCGACCTTGTCGCTCTTCTCTGCGCCCTCTCGAGAGTACTCACGTATGTCTTTAGTAGGGCGGGAGGGAGGCTATCGTGTTGAATTTCTCAAGGTATGGTCTAACATGTTTCAAATACCGCGTGGAATAGTTCAGGGGTTTGCGCTCCTAGGAAGTGCATGATGGTGTTCGCCCTCGATGCCACTCCCTCATAGTACCCAGTGCTTCGGAGAAGCTTAGTCCTAGGCCCTTCTCTGTGGATACCCTGGTGATTGTGCACTTGTTGAGAATGTGGCTGGTTTCCATCGCTTTCAGTGTGCAAAGATACATCACTTTGCATTTTTCTAGGTGAAAACCCAAACCATTCGCTGCCGACCAGGAATCCAACTGCAACAGATCATCTTAGATTATCCTAGGGTCCTCTTCCTAACCTACTTCCCTCCATATTTTGATGTCGTCGGCAAATGGGAGGAAAGGTGAGAAGATTTGAGTGGGGAGATCATTTGTGAATAGTAGAAATAAGATTGGGCCAAAACTTGCTCCTTCGGAAACTCCTGTCTTCGCATTCCACCAGGCTGACCGAATTCTGTTTACTTTAGTACGCAGTTCTGTCTTCTATAAATGCTGTAAATCATGCTATGAGTGGTTGAGTGATACCTCTGCGAGTTTGGTGGGCATGAGATAGTGTGAGACAGTATCGGAGGCTTTGATGAAGTTCAGAAAGATAACGTGAACTGGTTACCTGTTGTCCCATCCAGTGATCCAATCATCCCATGCGGTCATCAAATTTGTGACCTATGGCCGTCTGGTTCTAAGGCCGTGTTGGGTGGATCGAAAGATGTTTCCGTTTAGGTGGTTGCAAAAAACATTTGCAGGCATGGTTTCTTTTTGATTTTTGGAGTGTTCACGTAGCTGTTCATATATATATATATATATATATATATATATATATATATATATATATATGGATATATATATATATATTTGTGGTGCTACTTGAGAGTTTGTGAAATGGTGTTTGGATGCCTGTCTGTTTTATTGTCTTTTTTTGCGGTTAACTTCGTCTGTTGCTTTTGTTTCGCACTGTGAATGTTTTGTGTTTACATGAAACCATTCTTTAATTTTCGATGTCAGCCGTTTGTGCCTACCGTGCTGTCAGATAGAATCGCCCGTCGGTTCCTAGTAGTGATTCGGACGGTGGTTTATTCCATCGTCGTTCATCTTGTCACCTTAGTGGCCACTACACAAAGGTAGAAAGACTTAGGTGAAACCTTCATCTCAAACTGTTTACCGCACTGAATTGTAAACTTGTGGGGCTGTCTGCCAAATTAAGTGATTTTCACACTTTTCGTTGATTATTTTAAGGTAACAGTGAATCTCCGTAGCACTCAGTCCGGCAGTGCTTAATTTAGGCTCGTTGATCTGTTTTTAATCTTTAAAATTAAAACAGGTGAAATAAAATACTCGCTTTGATTCACTTTTGTTATAAATATAAAAAAGTATTTTTGTACGTCAGCAGCGCCATTCACCTGTTTGTTTGCGCGACCTTTTCTGGCATAACCCAGTTGAATCTTTATGAAGTAACAAAGCACACAGTTGATGCTTAGCATCTTTAGTGAAATCATGAAGAAATCTTCTTTGAAGGTTGAGTATGCAGCATAACAGTGTGCTTTGTTCCACCGCAGGAGTAAAATGTCTTGTTGCAACACTACCTATCAGTTGTGATCTCAACTAGTCTGGAAATTACACCTACACATGTAAGCAGAACGAATAAGCTTTGCAGTCAATAGATATGCATCAAATGCCAAAAGTGAAACACGTAACTGCGACACCCAACTTGTCTACCTTGAAATGGGACTATAATCAGTATCAAAATAAGTTCAAGGGAACGAAGAAAGATGGAACATTAAATTCTGAGGTCCTTGGCTATTTCGAGAATTTCAGTATCACTCATTGACATGCCAAGATTTACCCACTAAGTCAATTATTCTTTGTATCCTTTCTTAAATTAAGAATCTTGTTAGTAATTCCGCTAAGGTGACTTAAATATCTGTTATCACTAATTACAACATAATACATTTCAGTGAAGTGATGCATACCTTTTACTGTTGTTTACTTAGCTATGTGAGTCGAGTATATATCTAATTCTTAATCATACTTTTAGCTGTCACACATTTATTTTAAGTGTTGAGTTCAGCAAATCAAAATATGAACCAAAGGTCATTTTTGACTTCAGGTTGATTGATTGTTGACTTTACAACTGATTACTTTGGCAAAAGTTTCTAATACTCGTTTTGGACCATGATGTTATCAGATGTAGATAAATTGTGACCGGAATCGCGTTAGCTTTTACTCAGCATTGACAGATCTCGTTTTGATATTGACTGTTGAAGTGACACCACATCAAGATAAAAGATGCGAAATCTGAGAAATAGAAGCAGTGAAATCAAAAGTCATAGTCATAGTCATAAAATAAGAGGGGTGAAGCATAAAAGCTAGGTTTAGTAAAATGACTGGGATGACAATAATATCCGGCTCCTTCTGTACGCCTGCAATCTATTCTGAGTCAGAAAATAAAGACCTAATCTTTAGGGAATGTCTGTATGTACATGTATTTTTCAGTGTAAGAGAGTAGTCATCTCGAAGTTGTATAGTCATTGATGAATATGCCCATTAGGAACTCACATTGTAGATCACTGTTATCCTCGAGGTGTTCGTAAATAAAATTTTAGTAGCCTTCGCAGTGACAGACTGTGCATAAATGACTTGCACGTATGATGGTTACCGAAGATTAAATTTCTGTAAAGTATTACCTATACCTACTCTCAAGTGGCAATACACGCTTGATGCACTGTGTACGTTGAGGAGCCGCCCTAACATAGAATCATAAATAAGCACACTACTAAAAAGCTACGCAATGGAGAATTTATTTTATTATTAAATAATTTTTCGTTTTGTCAAACCGAAGGTTCACACTTCATAAAATTCAATGCTGTAGTGTTAACAGAGTCAGAAACATTAAGTTGAAGGTTAACTACTGGGTTTAACTGAGTGTTTGCCGCACATTAAGACGGTGTACAAAGACCTACTGTACCCTTTTCGCTTTGTTGAAAGGTAGACGGATACCTGAGAAATATAATATGCTGTTATTTTACCAGTTGATGTCGATAAAATTCCGCCTAATAGGAAGACGTAGTTGCTAAAAAAAATCGCTAACCACTTATATTTCAGTCTATTTGTCCGTCTGTTTTTTAAAATATTCAAACAAGGTGCAGGGTGGTTCAGTTTTCGGAAACTGACTTACCAGTTGGACGTGTGGGGCATACTGCTCATGTTTTACCCTTAGACTGTGACCCTATTGGCGAAAGATTATTAATTATCATAATTGGTGGCGCGGATCCTTCAAAAGTTCTCAATGAAGCTTTTGCTCTCGATATGGTATCCCTCAAGTGGTACACTGTTGGTGTGGCGGAAGGAATAGATTTTCCTAGTTTGGGCAGATACGAGCATAGTAGTGCAATTTTATGCGATCAGGTGAGTCTAAACCATAAAATTGTAAATAAACTTTTAGGCTGTTTCTGTTGATCATTTCTTTCCTCAAAAAAGTATTTATTGGTTAGAATATTTGGGTATTTTTCCCTTGAAGTATATATGCAACTTAAACAATTATATCACTTTATAACCCGTAGTAATCTGTGCAACTGGTTTGTCTATTCATCTCAAGTTTTTATCACTGAAACCAACACAGACAAAAATAAGTTGAGTGCGTTAAAACGTAACTGTTTACAGCTGACTTGCAGTCCCTGAAGACTGGTTTACACTATTTTACGAAATACCAAGTAATCTTCCAAATGGTATAAGGAAACGTTTACTGCAGATTACTGAAGTTTCGACAATATAACATTTGAGACCGGAATTGTGTACCCAGAAACACTTCTGTCATTTCCTGTCCTTATTAACTTAATTCTTAAACTTCCTAATTCTTATGCTTAAATACTCTCTTAGTTCTCGTACTGTTATATTGTTATTTTTCCCTTGGGTTCCTAGTGAAACATAGGGCTTCAGTAGCACGCCTCCATTGTACTCTGTTCTCTGCAGTCTTTTCAACGTGGCGCCACGACTGCACACAAGCTTTCATTTCTCCCTCACATGATCTCCATGCCACCCTCACCTTGGATGCGCAACTCGTCGTTTCCCCTTTGAACTCTGCTTGAGGGCCTGGCTCGTGATGTCCCTAATTGGCCTTCTCAGTGTATGCCCAATCCATCTCCACTTTCTTCTGCATATTTGTTGGGTGATGCGTTCTTGGTCGGTTCGTTGCCAACCAGAGCTCCTTGTTGCTTATTCTCTCTGACCATCGGATCTTCTGTATTGGGCGTAGGCTGCTGTTAATCTTGTACTGTTATAGAGTAAACAATTCTTTTTTGGTTCATTTACAAATTTTCCATTCTCTTGCTCACTGACAGCTGTCTACTCACTTTATTGTGAATTCCTTTTTGATTTCAACTCACTCACGTCAAATACTTCCATGTTTCTTACGCAATTTCCATTTCTGTATTATCTTCTTGGATGAAAATCACTAAAAGTTGTTGATTAATAAATAATCACCGAGTGAGTAAAGTTGAGATCAGGCGAACGATACTAGGTAAAACAGGGAAACCAGTTGATGAGGTTGTGAACCTTAGTCAACTGAGATGGCTTGAACATGTACTGCGCATGGTCATCCGCCCCCTTCCATACTAGGGAAAGTTGGATTGCGTTGGAAAAAGGTTCAGAATGACGAGATCAGAATGTGGCACTTGTCGATGAAGTTTCTGACTCTTGGTTGAAGTCGTGTGGGGAGATGTAGACTGCCTGATTCGGGTCACCGAGACGAAAGGAACCAGTAGCTGAGGAAACTTGGTAACGGATGAAAATCGGTCACATCTTTTATAGCTTGAATATTTGTTTGTTGTCTAACAGCCTTGTCTACTTTGATATCAGTCTTTTTCTATTTAGTTTTGCTTTATATACTACTACTGTAAAGTGTGGTAACTCGGGCCGATGCACTTGCCTGTGAGATTCTACGTTGACTTTATGTCTATGCCTGACACCTGTTAATCATATTATCAATCAATCCTTACAAATGACCCTTCATTTTTAGAAGGTTCATCTCAATGCTGGCTAATTCTCGTAATGTCTCGAACTGAGGACCAAAGAAGTCACTCTCCAGTCGAATTCTCAGTTGTACCTTTCCTCAAGCTGGCAGATGGAATTTTATGCCACAGTCGTTTGATCTTGACTTCTCCACTGCCTAATACAGATAACTGAATGACTCTTAGCAGCAAATAAATGTATATACTAGTCGTATAAACTAATTGTTGAAGTATGTTCAATAGTTGCTTCTGGAATAGTCCAACGCAGTGTTTAATCGTGTACCTATATATCTACTTTGGTAGACCATAACATGCTGCTATTCCGCTGATTTTATCAGTTACCCTTTAGAAATCCGTTTATGCTGTATTTATTCAAAAGTACTGGCATATTTTCGCTTATCTCAGTGTTACAAGAAGTGAATCCAATAAGATTTGTAATTTATTACAAACTGTTTTCCATATGAGCTATGTGTAAGTGTAACTGACAACCTAGCCAAATATACTACTGAACAACTTACGAAGTTACAAACTAAGTTTTTATTCATCATGGACTGACATCAGTTAGAGGAACATTGGAAACCTGGGAGCACTGAACAGCTGTCTCGTCGTAGTATGGGAACCCTCAGTAGTGTGCACCCACGACCCCGCCAAAGATCGAACCCGCGACCTTCAGGTTCCGTGGCCAGCACGCTACCATTGAGCCATTGAGTCGGAATCCAGTGGTCCATATTTCCAACTTCTGCATATATGATTAGCCAGATCCGAATGATCCAAACACCGGATGGACATTTCACTCTTTTGGGACCGAGCTCATCTGCGGTGCTTCCGACAAGTTCAGTTGATGGAGTCGAATTAGTTGAGATCGCATGAATTCGGCTAACTTACCTACATTGACCGCTATACCTGATTGGTTTCTAATTACTAAAGTCGTTCAGTGCTATATTTCGCTTGTTCACTACACTTTTGTGTCACAGATCACACCCTGTGATCTTGTCTGGATGGTTTCTAACGGAAACGCTGTTGACACCATAGTTGGGTGGCAATAGAAATATTATTCATCTGTGAAAAACGTCAGCGTGGATCGTGAAATTTGTAAATCATTTGCCAATTGATCATCATATTTTAGCTTCTAACCTTTCATCCGAAATTGATCTCTTTGTCTCGTAATATGCCTTACTATAGATATTATGGCCTAACTATCCAAAGAACTTAAGAGATGTCTTCATAAGGAGTTCGATTTGGATGCACTGTCAGAATTTTTTTCGCTGATTTTCAAGTATTATCTAACAATCCGGGTTATTGAACTCTTGCATTGTACAAACTCTTCAGTGGATTTTTATTGCTTCCTACAATACTCGACTAAAGTATGTTTAGATCCCGGTAATTGTCAATTATTTAATATGGTCATGTTTGATGGGACTGACACTATTCATTAACAGATATTTAACATGATGAATTTGGGTACCAAGTACACACGTGTGCTCAGAGTACATTGAACTATTTATTCAGACAGATTTGACAACTGAATAAGTCATTACAACCTTATTGGTTTCCCTCATTTTGAGCAAGAGCTATTTGTATTCTCATAGGCTTACAATTAGCCATTTAAAGTAACTGAGTAGTTTAAACTGTTTGATTAGATTTTGCAGACTTTAGGATCGAAATTTGAGTTGATTGAGTTGAATAAGTTGAGGATTAGGTAAGTGGATTATGAATGAAATATATTTGTAAAATCCCAATGAGGTACCTTTGGGTTTGGATACTATCTGATTCATTTTTTTTTTTACAAAATTGACAGGAACATTTCCTCGTAGTCATCCCTTAGGATGAACATTTAGCTATGGTCGAAAAGTTGTTATATCTGTATAGTTGTATAATTGCTTCTAAAAATGTGAAAGATAAGATCAGTTTCTGTTTAGAGAAATACAAAGTGCCAAACTCCAATCCTTATCAATTTTGATGTTGTCACAAAGTGAGTTTTACAAAAATAGATTAGATGTAAGGCGCTTTTTGCGAAATCTCTACTGAACAACATCCTGTAAAGCTGAAGATGTCTAACAGGTTTGTATAGAATCTCTAGTGGTTGTAAAGTATTGTAAGAAGCTTATGCGAAAATTTCGCACGTAGTACTGATAGTTTTGATAGGATGTTTGGAAGTGATGGAAATCTTTATTCAGCGGGTGATGTCACCTTAAGGTACTAGCTTCAATGCTACAAGCATATATTAAGTATACGATCACAACAGCTGGCTAGTCCTAGAACTCCAGACAAACAAAGATTCAATCAGCTCATAATTTGACATGTTGATCTGTTGGGTTAGTATATACAGAGTATCAAGACTCCCTTCATAATGTCTTTACTATCATACAACGAAGTGATTTGAATCAACACCAATGGCGATCGTTTTTTTACTTGTGAAAGTTATCTGATAATAGGCTTTTTTGACGCATCTTATGAGCGCGGTCACCTGATAATCTTGCTAATTCTCCTTTGAGCTTCTTTTCCTCCCATAATATGTTATATCGTATTGTGTGACACTTTATGTGTAGATCTACGGCTCATTCGTTTGAGGGAATGACTTTCAACCATTTTCGGCCATGTGCTCGAACCCCACTTTATCTATTAAGGTTTGGGCAGTCAGGTAATATCATCACTAGTCCTCACACTCAATGACTCACTGCCTAATGCACAAGGCGGTTGGGTGTGCTGCATTTTGTTCGGTACCCATCATTAATGTTACGAACTTGCTGAATAACATGAGAAAAGCTATTTATTAATTCTGTGAAGTGATCAATTTCAGTTCGTCACATAATTTTTGTGTTATTTTCCTAATTGAAATTTTCTCCCTCGCTTGTTTTTGGCTGCTAATATTTTGTGTTAAATATCATTGGTTACTTGTGTAGAAGATATTTGTTTATCTCCAAGACGAAATATTTGTCTTAACAAATCAACAACAACAGCAGCAAATGCACTCAGCTACCTTGTGCATGTCCGTGCAGTAGGTAATGTTCCACACCTATTGCGTGAGAGCTAGTAATACTACTTGGCTGACCGAACCTCGGTTGGTGGAGCCCAGCTCCAACTCGTTACCCAGTAGTTGATAATCATCTCCCTCAACCACTGAGCCACATCTCTACCGTTATGATGTGAGAACGTTGATATTTATTTATCCCAAGAGATCATGTGGTAACTAACTAATTTTATATCCTTTCCACAGTGATTCATTACTCATCTTCATTTTGAGGTGTTCAAGGAATCAGTAATAAATAACAGACAAACTCTGTGTGATTATCATATCTTTCATAATTTCACAGCGTACTACATATGTCCAGCTTAAAAAAATAGTCTAAGGGGATTAGTGAGTTTACGAGTAACAATGATATGAAATTACCTTTATGC